CAGAATCGAAGTCAGATGGTTTAACACAGGAGTTAGTTATTAAGCGACAAAGTGGTTGAACTAAATCATGTCCCCATACACATTCTAACATCTTAGGCGAGAACATCTTAAGGAGTTTTACTGTACTATTATAAAATGACAAAAAAGCTTACTTTGAGGGTAGAGACGAATTTTATTTATTTTATTTTATTTTTTTATTTTGAACACTAAAACATGTAAAATATTTATTAAGAGATATGACACACGACCNAAAAGCTTACTTTGAGGGTAGAGACGAATTTTATTTATTTTATTTTATTTTTTTATTTTGAACACTAAAACATGTAAAATATTTATTAAGAGATATGACACACGACCCCTTTTATATCTTCACCCTGTCGGCATTTAAGAAAAAAAATTTAATAGTATTAATGCCCCTTAATACGCAAGCTACAGTACCACATTTTGTTTCTTAAACTTTACTTATTCTGAGATATTGTTTAATATCTCAGAACAGAAAATAAAGAAATTAAACGAATTAGATGCCAACACACGTGCATGCTAATTTTTCCCCTTTTATTGACATTTTTTGGGGGTTCAGGAGGTCTCCAAATGTGTAGATTTGTAAAAAAAGACTTTATGGGACGAATTTGACACGATTCCAATACTTTTCCATTTTATATACATAATAAATTGGAAAGTAAAAAGGAGTCTGAGTCGGTGGATTTTTTGATGACTCTGGCTAAAACACCAAAACTCCACAACTCTGACTCCACAGCTCTGCTTCTGACACAGACCAAATATGTTTGGAAGCTTCAGCCTCTACAGAGTCGAGACATGAAGAAGTAAAAGCAAATAAATGAGTTTGTAAGTTTGACAATGAGTTTATAAAATATGGTTTTGTATATACTGAAGATGATGACCCAAGGGCTAAATGCCTTATGTGCCTGGCAATACTGTCAAACAAGTCACTGAAACCAAACTGAAGAGGCACCTACACCGGAATCCAAAGATAAAACCATTGAATTTTTTCAGAAAAAAATAGGGCATTTTACATGTAGGCAAAATTTTATGTCTACTTTTACCAATATTAACAAAAAAAAAAGCATTGGAGGCTTCTTACTGAGTGAGCTATCTTATAGCTAAATCTGACAAACCGTACACAATTGCTGAAGAGTTAATTGTTCCAGCAACTCAGGATATAGTAGGTATGTGTGGCGAAAAGGAAAAGCAACAGATATATCAAATACCACTTTATGATACGTCAATTGGTCACAGAATATTCAAAATGGCAGAAAATGTGGAAGGCAAACTTATAAGTAGAATTCAAAAAAATAAATTTTTCAGTCTTCAGTTGGATGAATCCACTGATTGCCAAAACGTTGCACAATTTGTTTTGCAAAATATAAATACAAAAATGAAGTCTAAGATAAACGACTTCCAACACCTTAACACCGCGTTGAATAATAACAACCCACGAAAAACCTTTTTTTTTTTTTTAGTGGAATTTAATAGTGACATAACACCCGTAAAAAAAAAAGGTTTTTCGTGGGTTGTTATTAAAAATGAAGTCGTTGAAAACTTTCTTTTTTGCAAGGAACTACAAAGGACTACAGGAAAATAAATCTTTAAATTAATTCTTACATCACAGGAAACAATATTTCTTGGGAAAATTGTGTGGGGTGTGTAGTGATGGAGCTTGTGCTATGCTTGGAAAACATAGAAGACTTCTATCTTGATTCAAAGAAGTCTCACCCAATGTAACATGGATTCACTGTATGATTCATAGAGAGGTGCTTGTATCAAAAAACATGCCACTGAACTTAGTCTGTCTTAGTTAAAATACTGTAGTTAAAATAATAAATTTTATAAAGGCACGTCCTCTGAATTCAAGGATTTTTTTTTTCACATATATGCAGGGAAATGGGCAGTGAACATCAGCAGCTGCTTTTACATACAGAGGTGCATTGGCTTTCGAGGGGTAGGGTCCTAACAAGACTATTTGAACTTAAAGATGAGGTGTTTGTATTTTTAAATGACAATGATAAAGATAAAAAATTTATACACTTTTTAACTGATGAAGAATGGCTATGTAGGTTAGCTTACTTGAGTGATATTTTTATGGCCAATGATAAAATCAAAGCCTTTACAAAGAAAATAGTCTTGTGGTGCTCATACTGCAAGGAGATTAATTTTGCAGCATTTCCTACTTTAGAAAGTTTTGTTATAAAAAACAAAGTAAAAGTTAATCAATCAGTTATTAAAGATATAACAACTCACTTGATAGATCTTAAATATAAATTTAATACTTATTTTCTGGAAGATTTTTCTGACTCTGAATGGATCCAGAATCTTTTTCAGTGTGCATTACCTAAAGATTTATCATTAAATTTAAGCAAAAAACTGAGTTGTCAACTGATGGAGAATTAAAATTTGCTTTCAAAGAGCTTGAATTGAGTAATTTTTGGCTTAAAGTTTTAAATGAATATTCAGAACTGTCTGATGCAGCTCTAAAGGTATTATTACCATTTGCAACATCTTATATGTGCAAGATGGTATTTTCCCAATTTCTCTACTTAAAATTTAAATATTGAAACAAATTAGCAATAGAGCCACCTTTAAGACTCAAATTGAGCAAAATAGAGACAGAAATATCACTACTTGTAAACAAGAAACAGGCTCATAGGTCTCATTAAATATTTTCCTTTTTGTATTTTTTTAAAACTGAATTTCTTTTAAGTTCCTACATATTATACTCCATATTTTTAAAAGTTATAAATGAAAAATGTTGATCATTTTTCAATCTAATATTTGGTAACTACAGAGTTGTTTTCAGTTTATTGTAGTTGTTTTGACACTAATGTTTGTTTTTGTATGAAATAAAAAAAAATACATTAGCATCTTCCTGATATTTAATATTACCTAGTCCTAGTTTTTGAGCAATTAGTATTGATTATTTTACTTTCTTGAAACCATGTCGGTGATTATTTTTGTCGTTTTTGAATACTATAGCAACTAAAAATTGAATAAAGTTACAATGAAGATTGCCTTGTGTTATGTGTATGAACTATACAGGCATACCTCGACTTACGTCGTTTCGAGTTACGTCGTTCCCGATTATACGTCGCTTGTTAAAAAAGTATATGGAAAAATAAAAATCAAGTTTAAGTCATTTTATTCGACTTTACGTCTGTCCGCCACAAATATTGAAGTCGTAATATCACTAGATAAACGTTTAAAGCACATAAAATCATATTAAAATATATACAAGTATGTACTGTATTTACAGTACACGCATTCGTAAATTTAGATTATTTTTTTTGTACTATATTAAAAGTTTGTAAGCTTAAAATAGATTTTTATTAACCATATATTATTTAAAATGCTTTCCTAGTGATAAGTAGATTCGGAGACAGGTAAATTCGACTTACGTCGTTTTCCTGGAACCAATTACCGACGTAAGGCGAGGTATACCTGTATAGTGTTCAAAAATTACAAAAATTATTGATTATTTTAATTTTAGGTCAGCATGTTACCTCAATGACCCATGTGGAGTTGCACTGTTAAAATGCTTGAATACCGTAGATCTAGACCAGGGGTCGCCAAAGTGGTCGATATGGACCCCCAGGGGTTGATGCAACATCATTGGGGGTCGATGCAGCTAAGGGGTCACAACCTTTTTTTTTTTTTTTTTTTTTTCTCATACATCTACACTTGTAATAAAACTTTACTGTGGGGGTCAATGTGAGGCTTTGGAAAATGATTGGGGGTCGACAGTTAAAAAAGTTTGGCAACTCCTGATCTATACCGATTTCTTAATGTCTCAAGAAATTTTTATTTCGGTCTGTTGGTTAAATTTCATTAACAATTGAAACTTAGATGATTTGTATTTGATAAATTAATAAATTTAAAGAAAATATATCACCCTTTCTACTTTTTCAGTTCTGTTATATATAATGATAAAGTATGATAATTGGTCAAAAAATGACCCCTGAGAATTTACATTTTGGACTTGGGACCTTGAAATTTGAGGGATTTTTCTGTATGTATGGATGTTTGTGTGGAGGGACACAATTTTGTTCACCCACTTTTGAAGCTCACTAACTCCTGTGCTTTTTGTTGAAATTTTCTGAAATTTTGGGAGGAGGTAGGTTTGTGTATTAGGGGCATTGTCACTATCAAATTTTGGTGGTTAAAGATTGAGGGGAAGATAGAGGGGAGATTGTGTGTTGTATCTGAAGTGGGATTGGACTTAATGAAAATTTTACTCATTATTAGCATTTACAACTTTTTATATAAACTTTGTCTCTACTCTCAAAATTCAGCTTTATGCCATTTTATAATTATTAAAAATATAAAAATTTTTAAAAATAAAATATAACAGATGGTGCCCCACACAGTTTTGAATTTTTCCAGGAAAGTTAAGCAACTGGATGTTTTAACACACAAACATCCAAGTGTTTTCAGACTACTTCAGCCCTTCCTTAGGGATTAAGACACTGTTACTTCTAAACTACTCCATAAACTTTACACAAATTAAAACCAGGAACTTTAGAACATTAAAAATATGTTCTAGCATTTGGATGTTCATATGTTAAATATACTTCAATAAATCAATTGTTTTTGATTTAGGATTCTAGCCTTGATCGTAAATCACATGAGAATTATTATAAAAGTCTATGTAACAGTTTATTAAATCCAAGAAGTGTTAGACATTACTGTGTTTAATTTTTTTTTTAAATCTAAGTTAATAATTATCATAATTTTGTGCTTATAACCCACCATGATGTATATCTGCAGAAATTTGCTAGAATGAAAATATAACCTTCTCACATCCCATTGCACTGTATATTCTATGCCTATGGATCAATGGCTACTTCATAGGCAAAAATTTATAATTGCAGTTTAAAACCTGCATATACATTGCACTCCTTTGACTTGTCTTTAAACATGGATAATACATAAATAAAGTTGTAATTGTAAAAGTGTTTAAAAGAATTCATTTTTATTTCTGTTTGCAGGGACTTACATAGCAGCAACTCAAAGGCCCGATGGCACATGGCGAAAGGCTAGACGAGTAAGAGATGGTTATGTTCCACAGGATGAAGTTCCATTGTAAGTGTGTGTGTGTGTGTATATATATATATATATAATTTATGATTTGACTAACTGTTTTGCTGACTATACTTTCAAACTCTAATTATTTTTTAAAAAATCAGTAGTTTCCTTCTCTTTAAACATAACTTCAAATTATATAATATTTTAAACAAACATCGCTAAACCCGATATATAACATAACTAAACACCAACGATATGCCGAAAATCTATCGGGCTAGTATTAGGCTAATTACTAAATGAATTACGTANTACTGGTTTTTTGTGTCTGTTATTGTATATTGTACCAAAATTTAAAATATCATTTCTATTAATTAAATATTTTTAGAATTGCATTTGTAAAGGAGGTTCCATTCCAGAAAACTAGCTTTATAAAAATAAATCTCTTGCAATAGGAAACTGTCTTTGTAGTGAATGTATAACAAAAGATAAACATTAATTTTCATAAATGATTTTACTGTTATTAAGATCAAAACTGGCAAAAAGCACAACTGTATCATAGTTCAAAATTTATCATTTGTCAGTTGAAAAATGTATGGAAGTTTGAATTTGGCATGCAAAAAGTGAGTTAAAGCTATCAAAGTATTGTATATGAAAGAAAGTTGTCTAAAAGATGAATGAAAGTTGAGGACCACATATATAAACATAAGAGTGAGATGCTTTTACAATAAATTTAAATTTATCCCAATAGATTAGTTGATTTTAGAATGTTTTGGCATGTTAATTGGAGATTATTAGTTTGAATCTCACATAGGACCAAAAATATATAATTACTAGAAATTCCCCCATCAAGCATAATGGAATGCTTTTTATGAGAAAGTAGAGATTTCAAAAAATGTGAAGAGAGTTGTTAGTATAAACTACTTAATTTGTAAAAATATTATCTGTTGTAACATAAAGAACAACAAAACAAAATTTCACCTGGAGTGGACAAAAACAGAAGTTATAGAGGAGAACACACACACACACACACACACACACACACACACACATTCATTCATTCATTTAGGTCTTTATATTAAAATAATAATCTTTCTTTATAAAATTTCTTTAAACATTACATTCTGAATAAATGCTCTATTGTCTTTTAAAAGATTTTCTTGCTGTCTTCCTTTTGGTAATAGACATCTTAATATTGTTTTGATGATTGACATTGTGATACTGTTTCTGCAGCCCTTGACAAAACCATTTCTTAATTCCACATTGATAAAACAAAGGTAAATTATATGTATGTTAGATGAGTGATAACATTTTCTAAATAATGGGCTCATTAGATCATTATTTCAGATTGGATAATAGAATGTCACTATGAAAAGATTTTTTTATTATAATTTGTTATAGAAGTGACACAATGAGGCTATCTTTTTTAAAGTTTAAATTTTAATGAATTATGTTAAAAATAAAAATATGCCATTTGCCAAAATATTTAAAAATGCAACTTAAAGAAAATTTCCTCAAGCATGGATGTCACATGCTTTCTGACATCACTTCAATGTAAGTGCAATTACTGATCTGAAAATGATAAAATGTTTATTCTATAGCTAATATTTCTGCAAAATAAGTAGCCTATATTTTCTGTTGAACATAAAATGAATGTAACCAAATTTCATGTGGATTGGACAAAAATTGCAGGAATTATAAATCATTTGTGCACACATGCATAACAGCTTTTATATTAGTAATTTTATGTACAGTATGATTTTCAAATTAGTTACCTTATTCAAGCACCTTTTTTTAGAGAGATTGGTAAAATTGGTAAAACTTCACATGTTTCAATCCATGGGAAAGAACTCTATGTGAGACAAATAATTCCAAAAACCATTGCTAGGAATCTTTGTGGAGTCTGTGTGGGATTTAAAAAAAAAAACAGTTGTAGTCTGTTGCTATTAGCTTATTCAGGCATGTTTAACTACTGGCAATTTGCTATTTGTAATTCTTTACTGCAGCACTTATGAAAGATTTCAACAGATCAGTTGCCTGCTGGAGTTAAGAATGCTATCTTGCATATCAGCTGCTTATTTTTAACTACAGCCTTCACATTGAACACATACTGTGATTGATACTAACAGCCTGAAGCACCTCCTTTTAGCAGCATCTGGTTTCATTGCAGCAGCACTTTTTTTCACATATTGTTAGTCATAGTACCTTTAGCAATGATTTTTGGAACTTTATATATACAGTAATACCCCGAACTTACGCGATGGGTGGGACCTAGCAGTAACCGCGTAAGTCGGGGTATAATTTCACATATAAGTACATACAAATAATTTTTAATCTGGGCCGGAGACTAAAGAAAACAATAATTTAAAAAAAAATGTTTAATAAAATCTTAGATAATACATATGTATAACAAATTAGGCCTATATTATTTTACAATTTTTCACATTTACTTGATTATTACGCCATAATTTTAGCATTGTTTCCATTTCAGAGATAATACTGTGACGTTTACGAATGATGCTTGAATTTAAAGATTGAGCATTTTTCACAGCTTTGAGAATTTTTTCTTTGCCTTTTATAATTGTTCTAACCGACAATTCCGGTAGATCAAACTTCTTTGCCAATTCACAAATTTTCATTTTTGTATCAAAGTCTTTAATAATGAGTTAAACGCGTTAGTAACGAATTGTTTGAAAAGTCTAATGAAATAGAAATAACGATGACGTCATTCTCGTTTAACTCGTTCGACTTTACGAACATATCCAATGTTAACTTTACATTCCAAAGATAAAGTTTTTCTTTTCTTGTTTGATGCAGAAGAAATTAGTTCTACTTTGTTTGGATAACATAGTAGAGTCTCTCGAGTCTTCGTAGATATAACAAACACAGAAATAAATAACACAAAATAAATTGTAGCTGTGTGGATTCCGCGCTACACATCCGAATATGTAAGCTGAACAATAGTGTGGGGGGAGTGAGTAATCAAGGGTTGCATGGCGCTCAAACAAAAGACGAATTGACGAGATTTGAAAATCGCATAAGTCGGGGTATTACTGTATATTCTTTTCATAAAGCTTTTTCCCATGTGCTTGCTAAAATGTATGCAAACCAAATTTAATGAAATTTTGCCCATTTTGTTCTCTATCCAGAAGGTGCTAAATAGGAGACAATGTTGATTTGAATCACTGTCTTTGGGTGAAACTTTTGTGTGTCTTTGTCTGAGCTATGCTACCAGAACTTCAAAGTAACATGGAACATGAATCAAACTTGCTTATGGTAAAGGATGTTCTGAAATATTTTAGAGTATATGCTGGCAACCTGAGATGTGCTTTCTATCCTGCTAAATAATTCATAACCTGTTCCTTTTGTATACTAAGACTTATTCTAGCTACTGTAGATTATAGCAGTCTGGACAAGATCCTTGAAACATGCTGTATATTTTTATAAATAAGAAGAAACACTTGGAAAAGCTTTTTTTTCCAAGTGTTTTCGTAGATCCCTTAAAATTGTGAATTTTTTCCAGGGTGATTTCTCAATAAATTTTTCAAGTTAAACTTTCATTAGCATGTCTAATTAATTAGAATTACTTTTTGCCTCTGAGTTTTCTCCTGTTATAAATAGTGTTCAAAGACATTTCTATTTTCCTGAATGTACAAGTCAGTTTGTTGAAATGCCTAACATGCTTTAGTAACCTTGTCAAGCCTGCAACTTCTACTCGTCAGTTAAACCACCAGGCCTTCCATCTGATACTCACTTCCAAATTGGGTTATTGGATGTTTATATTGGGAATAATAGGTGTTTACAAGATCAAAATTAGTTTACTTTGAATATGTCTGAAAGGCAAACAGTTAAATAAGCCAGTTGACAATGTGGCTTGTTTGCTACTTTTTGCATATGAAAATTAGTTTACCATATGAACACCTATATACTTTACCAGTTTTTCTGCTAAAATTTATTTATAATTTATACTCAGATATTGTATTTGAGATATTTCTAAACATATTGAATTAAGCAGTAACTAAAATTAAAATTTTTTGTAACCTAATTCTAAACTAAGAATTCAATAAATGCACAAAATATTTTTCTTTCAAAAAATTTTTTCAAATTTCTAACCAAATTGATAAGTTTGCTGTTATTTGATATAAATGCACTTTTAGTCTTAATGTGCTTTTGTCATCAGGCAAATGTAAATGATTAAAAGAAAAATCACATTGTAACTTTTGGAATATAATTAAAAAATTTAATTTGTTTAAGCAAAATGTTGCTCATTTCTTTAATACAAAATAATTTTTATTTTTAAATAAATTTTTAATAATAAATACTTCATAACAGTAAAATCTTGCTAACTTGAAACTGTCAGCAGGTCTGGACATTGTATACAGGGTTTTCCATATAATACTGTTGTCTTGTTAAGTTGAAATTGTTGGTACTTTTAACTCAAACTTATTTTCCTATGTACTCCCTGCTGTTTGATAAATTGATAATCTTAATTTTCTCTCTGTTCCATGTGAGTATAGACAATTCGCATGAAACATAATATAAACACCATGGCTTCTTGCCGAACATAACACCATATCATTACAACCTCGTGTCCACAACCTTTTACTGATATGGTATGTTACTGGCATCCTGATTGACATGGGGGTACTTAATAATGCCCTCAAATGCCACAAACTACAGTTTCGTATTCTATTTTATTCAAGGCAAAACATGTTCTTGAGAAACAGTTTGATAACAGTTTCTCAAGAATATGTTCATAGAAATTTACTGCCATGGAAAAATTGAGAAAATTGAGTATTAAACTTGTTAACTTGAAGTTGAGTTTTTTCTTTTTACTCCTTAAACTTCGACTTCAAGAGGCTTTAAATTTAAATCAATACTTCATTAACTTCTCATAAATAATATATTATTGTTTTTCTTTCCAGATACGAAAGTAAAGGTAAACAATGGGCTAAAAATAAACCCGACTTACCTCCGGGACTCCATCCTGATGACGTCGCAAAAGCTCAGGCTGCAAAAAATGCAGCTGCGAATAAGATACCTGGTTTGGTCCAATCAGAACCCACATCCAAATCTGGCAAGAAAAAGAAGAAAAAGAAACAGCAGAATCAGACCGAAAATGGAAAAATGGAGCAGGAAATTTCGGAGAGACTGAATTCCGTTCATTTCACTTCAAGTAACTCGGTTAACATTGGTGATAAAATGGTACAGAAGAAAGGAGTTCAGCCAATTGCCACTGATCCTGCAAAGAGGATAAAAAATTTAAGGAAGAAACTACGAGAAATAGAAACGTTAAAACAGAAATTAGAATCTGGAGAATTGATCAATCCGGAAAAAGATCAGCTAGACAAAATTGCAAGGAAATCTGAAATAGAAATGGAAATACAAGAATTAGAACTGGAATTGGAGAATAAATAGTTGTTACATATACCTCCCCCTTTTTTCCTTCTCCTGTAAAATGTTTTCGTGTGTATGAGTTGGTATAGTGTTTTTATGTGTATGGGTGCTCTAGTGAAGCTAATTTTTTGTACAAAACTATTTAAATCGTCACTTCTGCAACATATGATTTATATATACACATAAAAAAAGTTTGTGTTCCCCAATTTTTTTTCTACCACATGGACCTAAGTTTTGCATTTGTATATTGTTATACAAACAATTTTGGACTACACTTTTTCTATGTTTTAGGAGAATTTAAATATTTACACACTGAATTTAAATTTATTAATTGCCATGAAATTTATGGTAATGTCAATTTTTGCAAGGCAACACCATAGATTAGTTTTGCTCTTTGAAGGTTTGCTATTAATTTGTTTTTGTTTTTTTCATTTATTTGACAAAAGGCAATTCAATCACTTTTTGGTTTAACGATAGACAATAATCCAATGCATACTTAAGTTTCACGATATTGATGTAATTAACGATAGAATTTATACAGTTGAAAATATGCCAGAATGAAATTTGTCATTTTGTCAAATTAATGTATTTTTAACGATGTTGCAAATGAAACAATTTTTATTTTTTAGATTTTTAAATCCTTTTGACATTATGTACTACTTTTTTGAGATTTCACAACTACATACTGATATAATTATGAAATATAATTCATGTTTTCAAATTTGTATGAAAACCCCAACAAGCCAAATGGTTAAGTCATAAGATTATTTTTTACGTAAAGGTTTTATTTCTCAATTGCCGATTGTGTGGACTTGTCGGCATTCTTGCAAGTGGTGATTTGCTGATTTTTGTGAACTTAATGGTGCATTTTTGTAGTTTTGTGTGTATTCAAAGTAAATCCATATATTGTTTCAATTGCTGTGTCGTGAATGATGTGCTTAGGTATTATTTGAAAACAAATGTATATCCTTTAACAAAATTTGGTTTTTAATTTCGTTATGGAAAGCATTTGGTGTGGAGCTATTAAACAAATCATGCCGTTTATTTTCACATTTTAATAGCAAGGTGGATTGCAAGAAGATAGTGTTATGACCAGATAGGTTTTTAATGTCCCCATTTATTATTTTGAAAACTGCAATATTTAAATAAGATAATGAATTCAGAAAAAAATGTTAAACATTTGTGATAATTTTTTTTCCCCCTCAATTACTGATGTCTAATGGAAGAGGCTATGTTCTTGACCAGGGATGGGCAACCTTTTTCTATGTAAGGGCCGCATTTTAAAACTTTTGAACTAATGCGGGTTGCATAGAAGAGAAAAGAGGAAAAAATGCCGGTAAATCACAATTATTTATTCATATATAATTATAAATTAGCATATGTATACTTAATTTAGCATCTGGAACTGATGTAAACATAATATATCAGAAATATTTGGTTAAATATTAGTCACTGATAGTTTTAAATTAGTTTCAATATGTGTGTTAGCTGGTTTCTTGTTTTAATTTTTACTAAATTCATCGCAGAAAAACTATTCACATACATAAGTTGAAAAAATAACATTTGAATTTTTGCTGCATACTTCCTTAAGCTGGGAAATTGATATATTTATTCATATCTTATGTGATGAGGGCCGCAAAAAATATTAATGTGGCCTGGTGGCTGTGAGTTGCTCATCCCTGTTCTTGACTGTTACATAAAAAAGAATTTGTGTGTTAATGAACTGCTGTTTTTAATTTGTTGTTTTTAAATTTACGAGGAATATTCATATATGCAATGTGTTTTCTATTTTCTACCCCTGAACATGTTTTTACTGGGGGGGGGGAAATAGTTGCACTTATAACTAAACATGTCTATTATAACACCATTTTAACTTTTTTTTTCCAAAAATTGTTTCATATGCAGCTTTTTATTATTGTATGCCATGGTAAAAATTCAAATCTGTAATTAGTTTGTTAACCATTTTTGTTTTATAAAATATCTGTACATGTATATTTGAAGATGAAGTAGATAAATCAATGGTTAATGCTCAGGACAATATCTTTTTTAAATTAAACAATGAACGATGATTTGTTGCATACGATGTTAAAATTAATGCAGAGAAATTGCGACGGGCTGCCCGTCGCCCATTGTTGAATTCTGTTCGTCGACGGTAAAATGTAAACTAGTGATTGTGAACACGTCTACGAGAAGTGCACTCTCAATAAAGTTGTTGGCCAGTATTATTATCCAAAATACAGTTTCATTGTTATAAAAGTTTTTATAGCAATAAATTGCTGTAGCTTGTGAGTTGTTAGTTTGGATAGAATAATTGGAAATAATGTATTTGCATTGGTTTCGACGGATTGTTTTCTTCTGTAACTTTCCGGCGACCGGGTCTGATTTTTCTTTCTTTTGTTTTTATAGGCATCGCCGACAAAGACTGCCAAAACTTGAACATTGAAAAGGGCACATCCAATTTCAGACAATTTTCAGTCTACGTATTTCGACACACGGAACGACAAGTTTTAATATTTTAAAGGACTTCATTGACACATGGACAAATGTGTTGGCTTTTAAAATAATTTTTACATCTGATTTGTATAGTATTATACAGTGAAGTGAGCAGACATCTTTTAACAATAAACAGTTTATTGAACCTGTGTAGTTTCTAATCATTGCATTTTCATATTGTTGCTACATTATTGAGTTTAAAATTATAAACCTTGTGAACATTTGCACACATCAATTTTAATACTTTGTAACATATACCTTTCACTTATAAAATTTAAATTTTCTATAAATTTTTAAGTTTCAGTATCTTGACTAATATGTTCAATATACAGTACCAATGGCTCCTTATGGTGAAATGTGAATGAAGAAACAAGTTTCTAACATTTTCTGTTATAAAATTAAGGACCATTTTCTAATTGCATTGTAGATGTATTATGTATTGTAGCTATTTTAACAAAATGCACTGTTGATGAATAAAATTATTTTTTAATATCAAAAAAGAAAAAAAAAAGCATTTGTAGCACCCAGAGGAACGCTCATTTGTAGTTATGGATGCTGTGCACTTGTATCACTGAATGACAAATGAAACAAGCAAATTTTGCTATTTGTTGAAAAAGCCCTTTTTAATAATCTGAAAATTAAGATTTCTATAGTAAAGTTAAGCATGAATGGCGCACAAGATTTTAAGCTTGAAGTTAGAAAAATGATGCACAATCAAATCTTTTGAAAGATTGTCCCCACCAGTGGTAAAGTGGATAAAACCACTGAATACTGGTGGTTGCAGGTTCGAGGCTGGCCATGTGACGTTTTTAGTTTCTTCACGTTTGTAATACGTACATAAAGGCCAGATTCCCTAGAAAGTCCTCCCAGGGAGCATTGCCCAGGTGTGTTGCCATAACCAAATAAACCCTGTTTAATATTAGTCTGTTTACCACACGATGCAAAGTATTACAAATTTGAATTTCTGTCAAATTTTTTATTCCGTTTATTAACACAGTCGAACCTCGATTATCCGGACTAATTGGGGATGAAAGTCCGGATCAGGAAAATTCGGATAATCGAAACAAATACTTTGTCTTTTAATGATAATACAACACGTTTTCTTTTCGATGACATCGGTAGTATTAAAAGTAAATACTGTATTTAAATCGTGATCAAATTTTCAAGAAACAAACGTTCGTATTGAATTCGGACTACTACTGACCAACGCTAACAGACTACCTATTGTTTAAATTAAAAGGCCCTCTGATGGCGCAAGAAGACTTATTTTATAAAATTAAAAGCAGTTGAAACTGCATTTTTATGAATAAAAATTTGACAAACTATTTTTCATTTTATGACGAGTAAAATGTTTTTCTTCGCGTTCGCGGCTTTTAAGTAATGCATAAACCTTCGAAACGCGAGACATAGGCGGTGGCCCTCGTTGCCCATGCCTCACGCCGCCCGTGGTCATAGAAATGATGTAATTTGAAAATAAAATTATTTATAAATACAATATGTCAAGTTATATTTTTATTACGACACAAAATATATTTAAGAGTTTGTGCATGATTAC